TACGTCTGTGATCTAAAGTGGTATCTCCTATGTTTTATGAAGAGTTCGGCTGACAAGTTCATAAAATCTCATGACGCTTTCAGGACCTGATAGCGACTGTTCAAGAGGCCAATGCAGCCAAAGAGGCTGCTGCCAAGGCCGTAGCTCGTGCCAACGAACTGCGAGACGAACGTGCCGTCAGACCTCGGTCAGCACCTCCTCGGGCGCAAATGGACCCGGACGAGGAGGCTACCTCCGACGATCCCGAAGGTGGTCCAAGACCACGTAATTCCTTAAAGGTCGTCAGGAACAGTTTGCTCAAAAAATTAGAAGGTGACGAATCCGTTAGTCATATGGTGAATGTGACCCTCAAAAGCAGCCAAGCTGCCGAGAAGGCAAATGAGCTCACCTCGCAAGCCCTGGAACAACACCTTGAACAGACCAAGGTATCCAACCAACAGCGGGAACGTGAGTTGGGTCAAAATCAGGCACGGCTTGACCTTGATTCCGAAATGGCCCGCGAAACGCTCCGCTTGCGTCGTGATGAGCTACAAGAGGCTCGCAAAGATAAGGAAAAGAACGGCAGCCAGATCGACGAGCTGAAGACTTCTATGGCTAGTGTTCAAGGGTCTCTTAACGAAATGGGTTCCGTACTGAAGATTTTAGCCGAACACATCACTCCTGCTCAACGCACGAGTTGAGCCTATGGACTCGGTAGGTCTATAGTGACTTGAGAGTTTCGTCAGACTTTACATTGACCTCGCTCTCCTCTTTTGTCCCATCCAGCCAGTTGCGAATCCCAGGGGTTCACATCATTTTGAAATTTCTTCCTCACCTGTTCGATCACATGTTGAAAACATTTGTTACAAATGTTTTCAACATGCTTCTTAAAAATCGTACATTTCATTTCCACTTTACCAATTTCTCGAAGTTGTCATTACAAGTTGAACCCGCTTTGAACCTGTTACATTCTGATTACTTGTATCCCTTTTTGATTGAGCACCCATATGTTTTGAAGTCTGGGCACTTGAAGGATATCGTAGCCAATGAAAACACATGCTTTTGCACCGTGACCGAACATAATCTCAATACATTCGAGCCCCTTTGTTAAGACTTTCGCGCGAAAGCCTTCACCGCAACCACCGGTGAAGTGGTTGTCATGCCACTTCACCGGGAAATCCAGCATTGGGTAATGATCCAAATGCGATTTGGCGCAAACCTCGTATCCCAGAGTAATGAGAACCTACATCATAAGGTATGATTTTGAATATTGAACTTCTCTTTTTTTGGGCAAAGGCTTCGAATTGCAAAACGTAACGCAAGTGAGTTGGGGTAGGATTCAACAGTCTCATAATCAAATTGCAAGTAAGCAAGCAAAGTCCAAGTGATTCCTCAAGCTACAAGAGAGGTATGAAACCATTCGATTGTCAAAGAGCTTCACATGGAAATTTTTGTTTTATTTTACAAGATAAAGGGTCAATGAAAGACTGAAGTCGATATTGGAGCCAATCACCGTTAAATTCAAGTAGGTCAAACCTCCATTGCAGGCACCATGAAACGCTGATCCAAATAAGCCTCCAACGTTGGTGGAGCTGCTACCCCTCCCAATGGCCCTCGCCCACAACAGATCAAGAAGTTTTTGAGTATCACTGCGCAGTGATACAAAGGGTTTAGCTCGTTGACATAGAATCTGAGGTTATCTACAAGAACCAGCGCAGTAATTTATGTAGCATTAGTCTATCACCAGTTATAATGTACTCTGATCGATGGCAACTAACCTTTGTATTGAGACATTCTGAAGATGTTATGGACACGACCAAATTCATGTTCAACTGCAATTCGGACAGTAGCCATGACATGATTGAACCAAGCTTGATCCGGAGTCAGGTTGATACCAGCGTAAGGTGTGAGCATTACAGGCGAGTTTTGATATCCTTGATCTCCAAACAACATCATTTGACGACCCCCGAAGCCTTTGGCATCTCGTGCTAATACGTCGGTCAGGCCTGACATCCTTAATATAGCTGTGTCGTGGCGCGAGCCAATGAAAGCCTCTGTTAGATCCGCTGTCATTCCACTTGTCAACGTCGGAACCGCATCATCAGCTAACATACACGAAGATGCAGACCAAAAATCAAAGGCGAACTCACTCCGGGGTGACTACAGCCTGGTATTTCAGGCTGTGAACACGCTTGTGCCCATTGTAAAATGCGCGCTGGTTGTACTTAGGACGTGCAATTCGCCACACAGTTCCTGGAAGTAGACAGTTAGGCCAAACCTAGCATCACTCGGTGTAGAGGCAAAGGGCTTACCGTCTAAAAACCCAACACAGTTGTCCATGGGACAACCCTTAGCCTCCACCAAACTCGCCGCAAAGCCTTCCAAAACGGCTGGCGAATAACGTCGCGGATCCCATCGCAATAGATGGCCCCAGTGCTCGTACATCCAAGCTTGGACCCAACGGCAGATTCGGCCGATCGTAGACAGGTCGCGACCGAACACTTGGGAAAGATCGAAATATCGAGAAGGCGTGGCCAACCGGGCCATGTAGATTGCGAGTGCCGTACTACCAACTTCTCTAGCTCGGTTCGGCAGTAAGATCGACTCTGGAAACGCACCCCAGTGTTGAATTTCTAGAATCTCTTCCGGATAAAATCGGGTGGTAAGTTTGGAGACTTGTGGGTGCCAAGTCTCTACGTCCACTCGTCTTGCCGAAAGGTCGGGTAGAGGATCACCTCCCAAACGTTCGATCCAGGTCAAGTACTGAAGGACCTCGCGAAGTTCTTCGAAGTGGTAGAGGTACCACCAAGAGAAGATAAGTACCGAGTTGGATAAAGCCGGCGACCTAGAGAGAGGCAGTCCGTTCGGATGGAAAAGAATAGACCCCATTCATATGAGACGGAGCGGTTGAAGTGAAAAGGTTAGTCGTTGAGTGACCAGGAACGATCCAGAGGGCATACTTTGGGAAAGAAGTCACCAGCATCAAGTGTCTACTATTGTGACATCTGGAAGTGGTGCATGGGAATAGATAGGTAACCCAGGTGTCAGCGAGTGGCCTGTCACTGGTTATACAGAGGAACCTAGGCGGTGTTCCGAAAGCCAAAATCCGCTCTGACAGTAGAATACCAGATAAGGAGACGAGAGGTCTGGGTTCCGTGCGCCTGGTCCTTACTGACACTGGGAGGATCAGACTCTCGTAGACTATGTACAGTCAAACCAGAAAAGCTTGCCACAAATTCCCCGCCAAATTGCTCGATTTTTGCGGGCAAAATCGGTCAAGCTTTTCCGATTTGACTGTACTGTCGTTCTCGAAAAGCTTGTCCGAGTTTTCCCGAAAAACTTGAGCAATTTGGAGGGAAAACTTGGACAAGCTTTTCAAGAACGACAGTATGTAGTAGTGCTATGCAGTACGTACTCGTGCCTGTTGAGATTGTTTCTATTCTTTGTTTGTATGTGTGTGAAGTTATGCGTGTCTTTCACTAGGATACACCTACGTGACATCTTTGTAGTCCGACTTAGACTCGTGCCGATGGTGGAGGAGCTAGATCCCTCGTCACTCTTACGACTTGGGATCTGAAGCTAACTTGTGCCTCACTCACCATCGGCACACTGCAGTATTAACAGTGCCAATTTGTCACATCTCGACCTGTGGCACATTGTCACGCACACACACAAGTGCAGTGCGCTGCGATTGTCTGAGTACTGCAATATATATGTATGTATGTACTCAGCTCGATTGACAAAATATAGAAAATATTCCTCTTTGATCCTCCACCTCGGCGGTCTCTTCAATCACAGTCACTGTCAGACATCTTGCATAAAGGTGTGAAAAGATCACCAGGCGGTAAACTTCCTTGGCCTCAGATGGCTCTGGAAACCTGTCCAGGAATTTGAATGAGATCATGGTTAAAAATAAAATGAAGAAGAAAGATACGATGACGCATGAGTTTACAAAGACTACACCGCTAAAGGGTTTTTAGGCAAAATTTCGTGAGCGCAGGGGTTTTTCGAAACCCGGCCCCTGCACGAGCACTGTCTCGTCTAAGTCACATCTGAACATGCAATCGTCTCATTGTCGCGAGCTCCAAGTATGCTCCACAGCACAGGACATCGTTCCGTTCCCACCACGCGGAGCTGAGAGGAGGTGATTCCGTAAACCCAGCTCATGGCGATCCGCCGCTGATCACGCGCAGCTCATATGAACCCGAAACACGCGTGAATTTTGCGATAACTCATGGCTGAGACAGTTATCACATGCATGCTGTTTAAAAGTATTTCCAATGCATGAGAAGCATACGGAAGCCAAACCAAACATGTCAGAAGACATGTTAACCCCCAGGTGAAGATCTCTTCGCTTTTGCTTTCGCGTTGTGACCCATCGGAAAGTGTTCGTTATCATATCTCATATTCGGAAAAATCTTCGTAATCGTCTTTCTTGTTACCACACATCACATTATCATAATCCACCATGCGATTTGTCTCGGCGGCTCAAGCGACTGCAGCTGAGCGTGAGGCTTCCTTCATTCGCGGTCATGGCCCCTGTATCGATTTGGATATTTTGATCAAGATCATTTTTGTTCATTCTGTGCCTTAGACTTTGTGCAATGCACGTCTGGTCCAAACGAGGGACAGTGGACCTGTAAATTGTGCACCGGAAGAACGTTCAAAGACAAAGTCAAACATAGCAAATTAAAAACACATATAGACCGAGTACGACTCGAGCTTGAAAGAGTCTCTGCGGCTCAGTCCGCAACGGCAACTCCGGGTTTATGCCCTCGCACCACAGTGCCGAACGTATCAACATCGTCAAGTTCGATGTTTCCTGAGGAGCAGAATATACAAGCGGATATGCCAGACAGCCATCACCACATGGATCTATCTGATGATGGCCTGGCCGAAAGCTCCGATGAGCTTGCATCATTATATGATCCATCCGCTCCGAATGGATTTGAGGATTGGTCTCAAGACAACAGAGAGTCCAGTGTGGACATCGACTCTTTCCTTGAAAGCACTTCCAACGACTCCGAAAGCAATCCACGCCCACCAGTGGATGTTGATGCCGAACCTGCTGGGACCGACACATGGCTTCCGTGGTACCCTTTGCGAAAGCCAGAGGTGGGCGAATTTGGCAAGCCCCCCGTGTTTGTAAGTCAGCTAACAACTGACTTCCATTACATTGTTGTTTGCCCAGCACGCGGCTGCTCTAATGATGTTGGGCACCGGGCGCAACCTTATGTCTACCGCCGAATACAACCGCATCCGCGCAATTTTGAAGAGAGTTCTTAAAGTGGATTTGCCTGATCTCGGTCCGTACTATTTTGCAATGACAAGTTGATTACCAATGATCAAACTGAAATGGTATCAATTTCTCAATTTCAGGCCACATTAAGAGTGTTCGCAATGAACTTAAGGCTCGCTTCGGCCTGCGGGTGTTAGAAAGAATCAGCCCGCTGGGAAACCCATGTTTCACTCTCTCTGTTTGTGATATCATATCACAAGTGAGTATGTGACTTGTTTATTGCTTCACTCGTGGTTGAACTAATATTGTTTTGTATGGGTAGGAGCTGGCCAACCCCGAGGTTGGCCCCCATATAGAATTCTACCCTGAAACAGACAAAGGTGTCACGGTGGACCGTTATTCTCAATCAAAGAAGTGGCGTGAAGACCTGCTGCCCAGCCTTCGAGCGCCAATGGTTGATGTGGATGGGGAACACTTTTACATATATGAACCCACCCAGCTGGAAGACTCACGTGTGGTTGTTCCAATTTTTTTTTATAAACATGACCTGGCTATCCGGGCAAAGTGCTTAGAGTTAGAGGTGGTAGAAGGCGCTCCGGATTTCTTGATTCCGTCAGAGCCCAAATTTGACTCAGACGCATTTTTAGACATAAACGTCAAATCATTTGCAACATCATTCCTGCAAATCAAATTGTGGAATGGGCATAAATGGTCAGAATCACTAACCACTCGATTACTGCGTGAGTGACATGCTTTTGAACTCATCCTTTTGAGTAAGTGCCATTTGACTGAAAATAATCCCATTTGTAGAGCGTTCGCCGAAGGGCGTGAGGGTTGTAAATCTACCGAATCCTTGGCGTTCTAAGGCAAAAAATATGCTCATTCGCAGCGTACCAATAGTGCTTTACTCCGATGATACTTCCGGAAATATCTCAAAAAAATGGAACAAACATATGTCATTCTATTTCTCTTTGGGCGGCTTGAAACCTAAATTCACAAATCAGGAATATCACATTCACTCCCTGTGTACATCAAACATTGCCAGTGCTTTGGAGCAAGGAGATCAGATAGTAGATGAACTAAAGTATGTCCTTAGTGTCATTTCACAACAAATTCTTGTTAATTCTGTAAATTGATGAGAGGGATCTCAAATTAGTCAAGCGGCTTTGAATGGTTTTCGTGCTTATGATTGCAGCATCCAAAAAGACGTTCTTGTCCTACCGTTCATCTTATGTCATATGGGGGATTCTCCGATGCATGCTGAGATTACGAATACCACGAACCCCTCTGGAACTTTATCACCTTGCCGGATATGCAACTTGACAGTGGAGTCCCGAGCCAATAAGCAAACCGAGACCTACGTTCAGCAGTTTGTTGGAATTGATCAAGATTGGAACCCCGTGAGATTGTATTCATTGAAGAATGTCTAATGTGAATATACTAACATTTACTAACTTTACAATGTGTACCTTAGGCTTCTCGTCCTCTGCGAAACTGGGCGCGCACACGAGAACAGACCAAACAATTGTGGGAGTTGACACGGAACCCAAAAAGCATTAGACAGTTCGATGATCTTTCAAAATTATATGGAACTCGCGACTCCTTGAATCTCCCCTTTGCAAAAGATGCTCAGCAGCTTTACCGTTCAAACAAGCACAAGAGAAAAGAAGATCAAATGTCCCAACAGGAAATCATTGCTCATTGTCAAAGATTGGAGGATCAATATGGTGAACATATGTTCAATCCTTTTCTCCGTTTGGCCGGTGTGTGTAGTCTAGCTATCCATGAGAGTCAGACCATTTGAGCTTACAAGTCTCTTCCAGCTTTTGATGGCCATGTGGACACCCCAGTTGAATCTCTGCATGTTGTCTTACTCGGTGTCACTAAATATATGTATCGTGATGTGATCTCGAAATTGTCTCCGACCGAACTAATCACAATCACCGGCCGATGGCAATCATTTGGAATCGAGGGGCTGAATTGTGCGCCTATTCAGCCACGGAACATGGTTCATTATGCAAACAGCCTCCTGGGGAAAGATTTCCGTGTGGTTCTGCAGGCGGCGCCTTTTGTTTTCTTTGAATTTCTCCCAGATGACTATTGACACTGTTGGGTCGCTTTGGTCCATTTGGCTTCCTACGTATTTCAAACCCGCATTTTCAACAAACAAAAATATATCACGGATCTCGAAATTGTTGTGGCTCAATTCTTGAACCGACTGATTGCTCTGACGGCTCAATAGGGATTGGGCGGACACTGCTTGTTGGTGTCCCAAGCTGCAGTTCAAATTCAATTCAATCCAAAAATGACTGGATATCAGCCACTGTTCAAACGATATCAAAGCCAGCGATTTTTATTTTTCATTTTTTTGGAAGAAAAAAAAGCTGTGTGGCGTGACAATAAGAGCAGCATCCCTCTTGAGCCTACTCGCCTACACCAGCTTAAAAACACTCGTCCGGCCAAACAAGCAGCCTTTTCAAAAGCCTCTTTGTTTGGCTGGCTTAATTCCTGTCACAGGTATCCGCCGGGTAGCTCAGTAAAATGAATCAGGTGAATCAGTGACATCTATTTTGATATGAGTAGCCAAGTTCCGACAACTTCGATGGCGCCAGATCCGCTGGCTACAACTCGGTCGAACTTTTCGCCCAATCCCTAATGGACCAACAAGCCTAAATTTCACATGCTGACTCACCTCCCTCATTCGGTTGATCGCTTTGGACCTCCTCCGCTGTTTCTCACTGATAAAATGGAAGCCCAAAACGGTCCTACTTGTATTGCTTCAGTGAAATCGAATCATCATGCGCCCGGCAAAGACATCTCCAACAGCTTCAACAACGAGAGACTCGTTCGGATGCTCATCTCGGGGGGTTCTTTCTTCGATAGAAAACTGGGCACCCGAACAACCGCATCAAAGCTTCTCCGCGACCTTTTTAACGAAAAAGAGATTAGACATTCTTTAGGCCTACACCTACCTGTTCCTTCCTCTTCACAAGCCAAATGGAAGGTGACATGTCAGTGTGATCAAATTTTTTTTTTTTGGCTCAAACAATTGACATTGTTGTTACTGATACATTGATTGCTCAGACACAAAAGCACCCCAGGGTTCAGCCAATGATGAGGAGGCTCCCAACGAGATTGGCAGCCGATGGCCAAGTGCACGGTGGAGAAAATCTAGCCAGGTGGTACTTGAAAATGGGCGCAAAGTGGTTAGCGGGACTTTTATTTTGGTGAGTTAATTTTCTTGGTCAGATTGTCCTTTGGCATCATTGAGTTTGAAAAACTTTTGCATATGAATAAACAGATCAATTTTGATTGCGCGGAACCCTCCCCTGTTAAAATTGGACGTGTGATCCAAATTTGGCACCAGGTCACATCAAACATCATTTTATTTCAAGTGAATAAAATCAAGTTGTCGGTGGGTCTGCACCATTTTTATGGAATGAGAGAAGTCAAAGAAACCCAACAGAGTGCTTGGATAGACGCAAATGTAAGTATTTCTCAACAATTCGTATCGTTTCGGCACTGACTTTTTTTGGTTTTGGCAACACAGAATGTATCGTGTGTCCTCAATGTGCAGCACAACTGCCACGACGCGAAATGTGCGGTTACAAAGACCCGATCTTTCCGAATCGAACGCACTGCAGCTCAGAATAAGAGACCTGAAGTGACCCACCAGCCATTCAACTCTTTCATAATCAACGCGGGTTCCCACTATTCAGCAGAGTACCACCGCAGTGTGTCCAACCATGTGTGGTCCGAGGTAACCCCGGAAGATTGGAAGCAGTCTGTCACAAGAGGCCTTGCAGCGTGGTTTGACAAATGTCCGCCAAAGGGTCTAGGAAACAATCCTGTTGATGATCCCATGGAAGAAGAGGAAGAGGCATTGATGCCAATGCATGTCTGACTCAAGGTTGTGTTTGTGTCTATTTACTGATTACTTTTGAACGTACACATTGTGTACGTTGGCTTGTTTTGTAAAGAGCACAGGATGTGCGCCGGAGGTCTAAGAGGATGTGGGGATCAATATCATTAAAATCATTCCTTGTGAGATGCCTCAAAGACGTTGATGCAGAACATCATTCAACTTCAATGCTCTTTGCCCTCCATAACATCTATTCTAATTGCACTAGGGAAGCCGGTAAGAATAAAGACTTGCCCCCATACCCTTGAACATTTTCAACAGTGCCATATCCTCCTCAACCACTTGGGCGAAGGGGCGCACATCATCAAATAGGCGCCGATCTATCTCACGGATGGTCTTGTGGTACCTATCAAAAAAGAGACCGATGGGCATTGGGTGATCAGAGCTCACGCGATAGATAAAGAACTTACTCAATTTGATGCCTCTTCTGAAGGCTGTTGGCTATCCACTCGAGCTTAGAATCCACACGCGGCCATAATAGATCCAAAGCTGTTGCTTTCGTGTGGGTACATGCCAGGTCGAGCGCCATCAAGCGCTTTAGAGCGCGTTCTATAAGTATTTCCATGTGACACTATTGATTTGAAGGACTCACAATCAGTGCTATACGATTGATGACCTCTTCGTCTGCGGCGTAATATCTTCCAAACGAAGATCTTTCAATCTGCTCAGGCCAGAATGCGCGGTGTAAGCAACTGACACACATGTATTCCTGTTAGTCAGGAAAATGGGACAAGGTCCCACCTTGATTAACAGCACTTCCAGCGAAGGGACCGCTTGGTTTTGAGTGTTCTGAGTAAAGATTTTTGAAAGAATCTTGACGGCAAGGTCACGTTAGTTTTCCAGTCGGGCAATATGAGGTAAATTCATGTACCAATCTTTGGAATCGCAATCGGATTCTTCCGGTTAAGCTTTGAACTTGGGTGAATAGGGGTTGGGCGAAAAAGCGACCAACCGGTTTCCTAACGCAATTCAGTCGCAATTCAATATTTTAGGAATGCTTTGGAGATTGCTCGAAAGCAATACCAAAGCCACTCATAACTAACCAACATTTTGATCCGTCTTTTTGCTTTGCAAAAATACAGACCGGTACGAAGTGCGTCTTCAGAAGTCCAAAGCTTCACCCGTTCAAAAGTCTTACAGGGAAAATCGATTTGCGCCGCTGGGCTTGAAGTACAAGCCATGCAAACACGCCTTTTGCACCTTTCACAGATCCCCTAACCCTTCTCTTCAGGCCAAAGCTTGCCTGGGTATCACCTTAACACTCTCGGCCCTGAGCTCAGATCCGTAAGAGATGTGTGAAACCCATAAAACTTGTTCTCCACCATCTTCAACTGCTTTCGCTAGGCTTCTCAGAGGCGCAAAACCGGTTGGTCGAAATATCGCCCAACCCCTAATACCAGCCTTGAAAGGTTCTTATTGCTGTTGTCAAACCCCTTTGGGAAGGTCAATTCGAACGCCTTGTCCCTTGCGAGGCGCCACAGCTGAGCCTACCGGAATCACCACGGTACGTCAAGTCTCCTCCTGACAGTCGTTAAAAAACACTCACCATGACAATCCACTCCACACTCGGCATCAGGTCTCCTCGGTGATCAAGAGGAGAGTAAGTCATTGTTTTTGCTTCCAAGAATGTGCGACAGGCCAACATCTTAATCAAAGCCTTTGCACACCGGATAAGCAAATGAACCACTGTGAAAAAAAGAAATGAAAGGTGACTTACATGAAGAGAGACGTCAATCAAGGCTTCTTTTTGGTCGTCTGCTGAGCCCTTGCAATTCCGCCTCGCTTGCCTGAGCATGCTAGGAGGGGTCTGAGGTTCGTCACGATTCATCTGGTTTGGCTTCTGCTCAAGAAAAGAAATCCCGGCCTTCATTTCATTCGTTCACTTTGAATGAAACAAAGGATGACAATGTCCTTCTTACGAGGAATGCGGGTGACATGTCACCCACTGATGTTTTGAATTTCACATGTACCATCAAAACCCCTGGCTCACGTCGTTTCTCCCACCCACCCAATTCCACACCTCCATTCCACACTTCAGTTTTGCCAAACCCATGCCGATACAACCATTTGGATCTGCACTCTTGAATCTATCTCCACCTCAAGATCGACATTCAGCAATCGAGTCCATTAGGCGAACGAAGAATGTGTCACTATTCAATCAGCCCAGGGAGGAATGTGTCACCACTCACATTCCTCGAGCACGAATGTTGCCGTAGAACTGACTGCTCTTCCCTCGCTTTCACCATCTCGACAGGTTGTCGATTCGATCTAAGTTCCCCTTGTAATAGGCCCAATTTCCAGGACACGGAATCGGATGCGCGGAATTCTCTTTGGTTTTCAAGTTATAACCAGACCGATTGGTCATTCTTTCATCCATCCCAACTCTTCCCTCGAATCAAATCAAACCATTTCAACCAGTGCTTTGATATAGATCCATTACTTTTAATTGTAAGAGTAATTCTCGTTCCAATCCCACCGCAAGATTGGCATTTCATTAACTCTTTGTGAATTGTTGTCTCACTTGGTGTTTGTCAAATAGTCGACCGGCAGTCTTTCACTAATGAGTGATTGGGATGATCTTTTCGGTGGGGATGACATGAATGTGGATGATGAGGCTATGGGTGGCCAACCGCCACGTGAGAATGCATTGCAACGTGGGTACCCTCCCTTCGTTTTCTTTTGGTCCTTCCTTCTGAAGCCTCTGTCCACTCACTTTCGACCCTTTCTTGCGTTACGAAATGGGCAATTTGTAACCCTGGTCATCATCTATTTTCGGCCGGCAGCGTCGAGCAGCGCGATGTCGCTCAGCGGGTCGAGTGACTCACCCCAGCCCGCTCCGGCTACGCTGTTCAGACCACCCCAACCACGCAACACGCCTGCCTCAGCCCCCCCACGCCAGCCAGCGACCCGGACCAGTGTGAATAAATTTTCCGATCTTCTGAAACTCACAAAGGAAAATCAAGTGTTGTTGCAGAAGATGTGCGAGGTAGGTACCGACTTCTCTCCTTTCTGGCGCATCCTACCAAACTGAACCGCACCACTTCATTATTTTTTTATCGGACAGCACACTATGCCTGGTGAGGAATATGTAGGTACCCTTTCCTACCTGGTCTTTCTTGGTCAAGAGTCCAAAGGTTCAATCGGGGGGAGGTGGGTCCCAGGGAAAGTGATACGAGTAAGTTGTATTCATTTCTATCGATCTACTTCTCTCTTGACCCTATTGACGACTCCGCGGTATAATCGATTTTTGGACATCAGGACGCATTCAAGGACCAGGTGGCCCAATTCATATCCCGGCCTGAGCTTCAGGCTTTCAGCAAGAGTGTTGCTGAGGATCACACCACTATGGTGCAGAGTTTAGAAGTGCTCACCTTTGTAAGTGAATGCCATTTTCAAAGTTTTCATTCATCTTTACCGCCACTCACCAAACCAAACTCGCCCAGAACTTTCTAAAGGGTTTGAAGCCTGATTATATAGATGAACATGGGCCCGGGGATTACGTCGCCGGTGAGGCGTGCATTCCAACAACCGCGATGTACTTGTTCATCAAAGAGATCCTGAAGAACCAGCGCAGCAAGGTGCGCTCCGCTGTGAGTTGTCACTGATTCTTAATACCCAAAGTCATCCACCATTCTGATCGACTTTCTTCCATTCAATCAAGCTTCTCAACAACATCCTTGGGGTTGCAGAGGGAAGCGCACTCAAGGTTCCTGCTGCGAAATCGATGGTATTTCTGGTGGGTGTCTGTTCCAAAAACGCAGTTTTGTAGATGATGTCGCTGACCATAAGCCTCGCAGGTTACCCGATTGCTTCTCCCCGAAGTACGAGCTTTGCCGGACGAAGAAATGTTGGGAGCGCTGGGGCGCCCCCGAGTGAAGAGGGTTATATTCATGGTCAGTGTAGTCGCTTTGATGTGTAGGCCTGGTATGTTGGACTCATAGAAACGCCATGTTGTAAAACGCCATGTGATAGCGATATGTGACCGCCTTCAACTACCTCAATCACACCGAGAACAAAAAACGCTGCCAATGTACTCTCATGGACGAAGCCCTGGCTGAACTTCGCACAAGACCCGCCCGCGATTCATCTGTGTAAGTTGGTATCTTTTCCACCGTAGCACCAGTGGAACGTTTCCTGACCTTGTACCTGGTCTTGCAGGTACTTTAATGAGATCGCCCGTTATGACCGGGAAACCTTCACTGGGAAGAGGACATGGGCCGCTATCAAAGCGTCTGGACCACTTCGGGTGCCATTTGTGGAACAAGTGCTGGCCGCCGCGACGACGGCAAATGGGTCTGGGGGGTCTGGTATTCAGGGTCCGGAGGAGGAGGAACTGGATGAGGAACCATCTGAACTGTAGATAGACGCCTAAGGGCAAAAGCTAGTGTTTTATTGCAATGATTAGAACAAGTATCGCGAGCCATGGGTACCCAATTGGTTGTCATCGTTTGTCGATTCGTTCTAGCGGGCGACGGAGTTGCCTGCCGTGGTGCGTGTTGAACCTGTAAAACCGTTCCACGTGAGCTCGGGCAATGGGTGATCCTGCAAGCTCACGGACAGCACGCGTCCTCATTCAGAGACATTTGCGTATAGCCAGCGTGCGCGCTGACGTGGTTGTGATGTGCCAAGTCCGCGTGTACCTGACGCATTTACTCTCATCGTGAATTTCACGCGGAATCTCACTGCAAAGGGATTCCGCGTGGATTCACGTGACAACCCTTCAGTGGTGTACAAACTGGGATCCACAAGTTATATTTACTGTTGATTGCACAAAGCGTGCCAAAGTTTTAGCTCAATGTGCTCGAATTTTGCGGGAAAACTTGCTCAGAATTGGACAAGCTTTTTGAAATTGAAGTATTACCTAAAGTGAGGAAAAAAGATATGATGAGGCATACAAAGTTCACAGAAAAAAATGGGGTTCACATGTTTTATTACCTAAAGTGAAGAACAAAAATACAATGACTATTAGTATGATGACACATGGTTACAAAAACTACAAACTGGGTTCTACAAGTTCATGTGGAACCACCAACCTACTCAAACATGAAGAGTGACGAGTTTTGTTGGCAGCACTGTGAGAGATGGCTGTGCCGCAGTTGTGTCAATCATGTGACCACCACACCCTCCCCACAATGATTCACAGACATCCGCCTAGAAATGAGAAACAAGGAAACAAAAAATAACAATACATAGAAGGACAGCTGTGTTCAGGAATTTGTTCATCCGACAGAGAATCCTTTGACCAGGATCTCTGGAATTGTTTACCTTGTCCATGGAATTAGTTCCACCAGAAACAGAGCCTGTACCAACTGATTCAATAAAAAAAGAAAAGAAGAAAAACACAAATAATAACAGGAAACAAAGAAAAGGAAAATATATGAAAGAAAAAAATGTGTATGAATGAAGCATTCAGTTGAGCCTTAATTTTTGTAAGCCTTGAAGGAGGGAGAGTGCTATGTCAACACCAGGTAAGCACTGCAACATGGTGCTACTGCAACACAGAGTGTTGCATTGATGCAATCTTGAATTTGCAATGGGGTAGCTTTTGGGAGCGTTGTGGTGGCAAAATGAGGCAAGATTGACATGTCTTAGTGTTGCTCACAGCAGTAACACAACATTTGTTATCAGCAACGATGTCATGCAGCATTAGGGCTATGACCCGGGACCGGGTGTGACGAGGTGGCCCTGAGGCTTTGCTTGGCCACGAGTAGTCACGAGAGCTCTCAAAAAAGGACCAGGGCCAGGTGAGGCATGCCCTGAATTACAGGCCTCAGGGCCAGGCTTGTTTTTCAGCGCAAAAACACAAAAAATGCTCCAGTTTGAAGATTATTTCAGCGCACAAACAGGAAGGGGATTTAATTGCATTCACATGTATTATTGAAGGCTAATTTTAAGCACAAAACAGGGAAAAATCACATGTATTTGAGGCAAACATAGATTTATAGTAGATTTATTTATCATTCAGACTATTGTATGATACCTAAAAGAAAAGAACTACTTGTATGATACCTAAAAGAAAAGAACTACTGGTATGATACCTTATAAAAGAAAAGAACTACTTGAACTCCTTGGACCAGCTTTTAAGACAGACTTGAGCCCCAAGATTTTGAGTGGTGAAAGACGCTCGGTGGTCACTGATGACTCGTCAAGCGCTAGAAAAGCACCTCTCGGATGGAGCACTGGTTGCTGGTACAGCAAGCATGGCTTTCGCCATGCATGCTAGATTGGGCCAGTGACGCTCATGTAACTTCCAATAGGCAAGTACTTCCTGCTTCTCATCCTCTTGAGGGGCAGTGAGGTATTCATTGATTTTGTGCTCAATAGGAACTGTTTTGTGACACTTCATGAAATGCTGGGGTTGATCAGGGTTGAAAGTATCTTCAGGCTCAATGATATTGATGTGGGGATCGCAAGCTGGCTTGAATTTGTTGGCTTGTTCAGTAAAGTACGTGAGCAAGTCTTTGGGTCCCCATCCAAGCGATTCCATGGTGGAAGCTTTGACCGCAGTGAGTTTGAGTCAAGGGTCGAGTATAGCAGAGCATATATAGACAGCTTTCTTCTGAGCTGCCTCTTGATACTGAACAATCTTCTTCATCATTGGTAAGATACACACTTTCAATTCCTTGCAATCAGCATTATGCCACACCTGATACAAATAAGAATCACTATCAATATCAAATCAAGGCGATAGAATTACGAGTAGAGACAAATAAAAAACTTACAGCTTTGAGTTGTTCAACAAGCCACTGGTAGTCCAGCATAACGCTAGAGATAGTTGGATAATTGTTGGCTTTGATTAACTTGAGGACCTCAGCGAGGGGAGACAAAAACTTGACTAAGGTCTCAACTAGGGTCCATTCCTCATCGTCGAGTGAGAAAGACTCAAGAGCAGGGTCACCATCACATACATATTTGATAGCAGGTTGGAGTAAGACAAAACATTTGAGGGAATCATGAGTAGATGACCAGCAAGTAGATACTTTGTGAACTAGGCCAACTTTGCTTTTGATCTTAGGACAGCCTTGGACAGCATTATCAAGATCAAGAGTAAGCTTGGGTCTGTGTTTCACTTGCTTGTGAAAGGATCAGATCCAAGCAAGAATGATACTTATCCCAGCATGTGGGGTAGGCTCCACAAAAAGTGGAACAGATGAAGTCAAAGTTGAATCTGGAATATTAGGGTCAAGGGTGTTGACTGGAGTTGGAGGAGTCTTGCAATCAAACACGGCCATTTCAGCCTTTGCAACCAAGTTGATGAGGTGGGCAACACAACAGTGTAGGTTATTAGAAGGATCAAATGTGGGAATCATAGTTGAAAGATGTTGCCCCATTATAGTGTTGTTGGAAGCATTGTCCGCGGTGATGCAGTAGAGTTGTTCAGAGATATGAAATTTATCAAGAGTGTGCTTGAGAAGAGTGGCAAGGTTAGATCCGGTATGATGTCTGTTGATCAGCTTCAAAGCAAGAATGATACCGTGAATCTTGTAATTGTCATCTATCCAGTGTGCAGTTATACCAAACATAGCAACATTACTGGGGGAGGTCCAACCATCACAAGTAAGGCTGATGTGTTGAACCGTAGATAGTAAATTGGTGATAGTGCCTTGGACAGATTGATACTTGGATAAGATTGAATCAGAAACACAGGTTTGCTTTGATAAGAGAGAAAGCAATGCCGGGTTGACCATAGCAAAGAGTTTGCAAAATTCTTTGGCATCCACGAGAGCAATAGGAAGCTCATGGTTCACAACTAGCCAAACTAGAGCATCTCAAAGGTTCTCTCGATTGAAGGGCTTGACCTGTTTGAAAAAAAAGAAGTTATAAAAAATGTTAGTCAAATGATTCTTAAAACGATAAAATGAAGTGAAAGAAACTTACCCTGGCTATCTTGCCATCCATGTAATACGCTGGCAAGATGTGTTGATCAGTCTTGACAGGTGGCTCAATGTGGTGGCATCGTGAGAGGTGCCTTATCATTGATTTGGTGCTACCATGTCAGTCAATGGCTATGCCCTTATTGCATAACACAATAGGGGCATCGGGATCTTTGTCGGGGTTGGTGAGAACGCTGTTGATGAAGCCTTCCTTGGCTTGGAAGTGATTCTTGATGGTACCGTCCATGTCTTCCGAAACAAAATATTGCCAGACCCAGGACGTGCGTCCAGTGGTAGTAGATTCAGAGCCAACAGCGGAAATAGAGTCAGAGGGAGCAATACTAGTGGAGGGATGGGTGCTGGAGGGAGCTGAGCTGGGGGGACCACTGGGATTGGCTGACATATGCACTGCATGAAGGATCTGTGCTGATAACCGGGTGTTGATAGTAGAGGGCATTTTGATGAAGTGGGAAAAGGGTATGTATGATGACGGAGGGTTGTTAAAATCTTAACTTTGACTAAAAAAAGAAATACTAAAGAAAGAAATTCCTTGGAGATCTCATGGTACACGGAGATATGCTGATCAAGTTGTGAAGATCATGAGACTCAAGGAAAATAAGGAAAAAGGGCCCGGGCACCCGGCCGGGCGGTGACACACGTCACACCTGTAGGTCTTTTGCAACTCTCATCAGGTTAGGTTTGGGTGTCCCGGGACATGTACTGTTATCTACCTTACATACCCTCGGGCAGAGTTGGCCAGGTGTGGCTGGTCCCGGGTCATAGCCCTACGCAGCATCAACATGCAACACATTGTTACTGTACGTGTATTCATGAATGTCTTTGCTTGATGGATTTTTACTTGTTGTTCTTCTTTTTCTTGAGTTTCTTTTGTGCCCCTTTTTGTACTTGCTGTTCTTCTATTTCTCAACTTTCTTTGATGACTTTTTGTTTACTTGTTGTTATTTGTTTTCTTGACTGTCTCCCCCATGAAAATTGTATACAATTATCACTACTTTTCTTCTTTTTGCTTTGTTATGGTTTATAACATTGACTAGGCAACTGGTGCCCATCCGCCACACAGGCTTGAGGCATGCCAATTCCTCACATGTATGTAGCTTGGTTGTAGTTAAAGAGAGTAAGGGTCACGGTCCCCCTGATTCTGTTTTGTGCAGAGCATGCCCTAGCAAATATAGTCAGAATCACAAAATGCTTGCAGCATCTTTCAAACTTTATGCTTCTATTGAACTTCAAGTTGATCTTGATTTCTTGATCACATGTACCAGATTAAGCAAAACAAGTGGATATAGTTGAATGAAGTCCTTGAAACAATTTGAATGATTTTCTTGAAATGATTTCATGAATTTGAATGATATGAATTTGTAAAAATGGATGATGCCTTGAATTTGATGGACTATGACATGATTACATGCTTCACTTGATGAGCTGATTGTGTGATGAAAGGTCAGTCCAATCAAAGAGCTGAGCCGCACTGGTGTTGGCTGATGATGATGATGATGATGATGATGATGATGATGATGTTGGAGCCCCAAGGGTGTTGAAGAAAAATGT